GTGTATCCAGGTCTATCCCAGGTATCCCCAGGTGTATTCCAGGTATCCCCAGGTGTATCCAGGTAACCCCAGGTATCCCCAGGTGTATCCCAGGTACCCCCAGGTGTATTCCAGGTATCCCCAGGTGTATCCAGGTAACCCCAGGTATCCCCAGGTGTATCCCAGGTACCCCCAGGTGTATTCCAGGTATCCCCAGGTGTATCCAGGTATCCCCAGGTGTGTCCCAGGTGCCCCCCCCCGACTCCCCGTGTCCCTCCCTCCCCGCAGTTCCTGTCGGTGTGCGCCCCGGCCACGCGGGACCACCCGGAGGTGCTGCCGTTCCTGCGCTCCCGCCACGCGCGGGCGCAGCCGGAATTCCGCGGCTCCGCCGAGTTCCGCAACATCCTGGGCCGGCTCCTGCGGCGCCTCCGGAGCCGCCGCAGCAAAACCTTCGTCTACATCAACGAGCTCTGCACCGTCCTCAAGGCCCGCGCCCTCCGCCGCCGCCTCCCGCTGCTCCCGCTTCCCGCCCTCCCCGACGCCCGGAATTCCGACGGCGCCGCCTCCTCCCAGTGCCCCTCCGGCTCGTCCCAGTGTCCCGGGGGTTCGTCCCAGTGTCCCGGGGGTTCATCCCAGTATCATGGAGGCTCATCCCAGTGTCCTGAAGGTTCATCCCAGTATCCTGGAGGTTCATCCCAGTATCCTGGAGGTTCATCCCAGTATCACGGAGGTTCATCCCAGTATCCCGGCGGCTCATCCCAGTGTCCCGGCGCTCCATCCAACCACTCCGACGGCCCCTCCCAGCAGCCCAACGGCACTTCCCGCTATCCCGACGGCACTTCCCGCTATCCCGACGGCACTTCCTCCCGGTATCCCGACGGCACTTCCTCCCGGTATCCCAGCGGCAGCACTTCCTCCCGCCGGCCCGGCGATCCCGACAGCTCTTCCCATCGCTCCGACGGCTCGTCCCGACGTCCCGGTGGCCCATCCCAGCATCCCGATGGTTCATCCCAACGTCCCGATGGTTCATCCCAACGTCCTGATGGTTCATCCCAACATCCCGATGGTTCATCCCAATATCCCGGTGGTTCTTCCCAACGTCCCGATGGTTCATCCCATCGCCCTGATGGTTCATCCCAATATCCCGATGGTTCATCCCATTGCCCTGATGGCTCATCCCGACGTCCCGATGGTTCGTCCCGACGTCCCGATGGCTCATCCCAGTATCCCGATGGTTCTTCTCATCCTCCTGATGGTTCATCCCAACGTCCTGATGGTTCATCCCGATGTCCCGATGGTTCTTCCCAACGTCCCGATGGTTCATCCCGATATCCCGATGGCTCTTCCCATCGCCCCGACGGCTCTTCCCAACGTCTCGAGGGTTCATCCCAACATCCCGACGGTTCATCCCAACATCCCGACGGCTCTTCCCGCCATCCCGACGCCTCCTCCCGCCATCCCGACGCCTCCTCCCGCCATCCCGACGCCTCCTCCCGGCGCTCCGGCGGCGGCTCCCGGCGCCAGATCCGCTACCTGGAGAACCTGCTGCGCGTCTACGCCGGCGAGATCCGGCGGCTGCAGGAGCGGGAGCTGGACTTCCAGGAGTTGGACAGCGCCGACTCGCCCTACCTGCAGGAGAACCGGCTCAAGCGGCGCATGATGCGCATCTTCCGCCGCCTCTGCCAGCTCAAGGAGTGCAGCTCCCTCACCGGCAGGGTCCTGGAGCAGCGGATCCGCTTCCGGGGGACGCGCTACCCGGAGGTGAACCGGCGCATCGAGCGCTTCATCAACCGCCCCGACGCCTTCCCCGACTACTCCGACATCCTGCGCGAGATCCGCGGGGCCAGCGAGCGCCACGGGCTGGGCCTGGCGCGCCGGCACATGGAGAACATGGCCCAGGAGGCCTTCCGGGAGGTCGGGAACAGGCTCCAGGAGAGGAGGCACCTGGACCTGGTGTACAACTTCGGGAGTCACCTCACGGATCAGTACCGGCCCGGTCAGGGGGGTGGAGGGGGGATTTGGGGGGTTTG